TTCCTTTCTCCAGGAAAAAACACACACATACACACTGCATATTAGAGCACTATGGCTGTACAACATATTCCTACAATGGTAAAAACACTCCAATTAGCTGTAAAAACACATGCACAAACACACACACACACACACACCCATACGACCTATCCCTCATCCGTTCAGCGCTGACATGTTTCAACAGAGCCCTGAAAGTTGGCGGAGCTTCCCACAGGCCATGACCACAGAAGTGCGGAATGGGAGCAGTCTGTGTTGACGGACAGAAGGAGTGATGTCAAATTGTACATATTTGATGTCATCTTGCGTTGGCTTCTGCTCTCTGTGCATCTGTCTGTCCATTCCATCTGCTATAGGCTGGCCTGCTGCACTCATTCATTCTGGTCTTTACAATGCTCTCGCTTTGTTCTTAAATAGGGCAACATGTTACTAATGATGCCTTTTTCTTCTTCTTTTAGCCTTTTATGTCTCCACGGTACCCTGGTGGACCTCGGCCGTCTCTTCGCATGCCAAATCAGGTACAGAAAACATCATCACACCCCATCATGTTGAATTTGCAAATAAACAGTTCTTCCATTTTTACACACCTCTTAAGGGTCACCGAAATCAAGAAAATCCTGGAAATGTCATTTTAAAAGGCCATGGGATTTTCTGTTCTTAATCAATGTTTTGTTGTTGGTATGTTTGACTCTAATATATTTTATTTGCTAGAAATTTAATTGTGTGAGTGTTATCTAGTGTGAAGTAAAAAATAAAATGATGAAATTGTTTTTTGTTTTTTTTTAAATAATGCTAAAATTAATATAAAATATAAATATTTGATAAACTATGCAAAAATATGGCAGCTAACTTGTGGAAGCTAAAAGTTTGAAGTACAAAAATAAATAGAAATAAGATAGCTAAATAGAACAAATAAATCTATATTTATATATAATGAGAAAAACAAAATTAAAATTTTAACTCTAAAAATAAAAGCTAATTAAAAATTATTAAATACTATAATCGTATAATAAATATACTAAAATAACATTGGTGCCTTGTCTTTAAAAAATGTCACTGAAATTCATTGGGCAAAAGGTGGGAAACCTAACAGTAGTTGTTTCTAACAAACATTTGCATACATATGCATGTGACAGATGTTCATACATGCCTATGGTGCCCCAAAATAATAATATAAAATGATTTTATTTGCAAATAGTCGTATGTGTGTAAATAGATTTTTAAATTCTATTTACATTCATGAATGAATGTAAATTAAATTAATTTACATTCATTCTTCGTTATAAATTGAAATGACTTCTGACTGTTACATCAAAGCCAGCTTGTGATGTTCCTGGTCTCTGTTGTTCTAATACAAAGTACTGTAGCAATAGTGACATTGTGTAAAGATTTGTAAGGCCAGTTGTGTAAAAGGTTATTGAATTTATATTTTATACCAATGGACTTCCATTGAAAATAAAGGATAAAAGGAATTTGTTCCTTTTACATGATTCCAGTATAGATAACTAAGTTTGTCACCTCCAGTGTAAACATGATGTACGTTTTCTGTAAAACACTTCCCATGTATTTCACTGACCTTCCCTCATTTATGTCCTCTTCAGCCTCCGGTAGGGGTTCCAGGTTCACAACCACTCCTGCCAAACAGTTTGGACCCAACCAGACCACAAGGTAGCTTGGTTCTTGGTTCAACACTTCATAACCACAGAGCAGACTTACATGCAGACTGATGAATGACATATTATCGACTGTGTAATATTTTTACAGGACATCCTAACATGGGTGGTCCAATGAGAATGAATCCTCCCAGGGGGATGGGTGGCATGGGCCCTCAGGTAGGCACATATTGTTGCTCACTTTCTACTCATTTATCCTTTTGTAGTCGCCCCCAAGTCAAATGCCACAGGACTTAGATAGTCAGAAACCCTGTTACTCCTCTTTAGCCACCTGTGCTGAAAGCAGAGTTCTCACCACTTCTCTATTTTTCTCTCTCTCTGCCCTTCTCGTTCTTGGCAAACGAAGTGCCGCACAAATCAGCAGCTGGTGCAGCATCTGTTTGACAAATTAGGTAGAGTGCAAAGCAAAAGCTCGGGTTAGAAAGCCTCTGTCACACTTTGCCCTCCACCCACGGGCAGCCAGACAGGTGGGCCGCCGTCTGCCTGAGCAGAACTTTGTTAGCATTGTGTCATTCGCATCCCAACCTGTTCGGTTGGATCCCCACTACTATGCATGACAGTGGATGAAGGACAGGGTTTCCTGCAGCGCATAGTTGCTGCATTTTCAGCCCCACAGCAGAAAAAAAAATATTTAGTTTCTAAAAAACGTAGATACTACAAAATAATGCCTAGACAACAACAATCTTTTCAATTCAGTGTGCATTTTACATATTATTATTATTAAATATGAATTAAATATTTTTAAGTTACATTTATATATTTATTTTAATAAATGTTTTTGTATATAATTATTAATGTACAGTATATACACACGTATAATTAGAATATAAAATGTAGTTTATTTTAATAAATGTATTTATATGTAATTATTAAATATACAGCTATAATGTTTGATAATATTTTTTTATGTTTTCATTTATTTTAATACATTTATTAGCATATAATATAATTATTATATATACAATTAGAATTATTATATAAAATGTATTTATTTACTTATTTATTTATGAATGCATGCAGTTATACTGGTGAATGTTAAAGGGGTCATATGATGCGATTTCAAGTTTTCCTTTCTCTTTGGAGTGTTACAAGCTGTTCGTGAATAGATAAGATTCCTAAAGTTGCAAAGACTAAAGTCTCAAACCCAAAGAGATATTCTTTATAAAATTTAAGACTGGTCCACGCCCTCCTAAAATGCCTCGTTCAAACACGCCCCCCACATGTCTCCATCACTGTGTGGGAAGATTTGCATAACACCGCCCAAATGTATACGCAAAGAAAGAAGGCGTAACTTTGATTCTCGCTGTAGTATTGTTGCCGCCGCGGCTATGTCGTGGAGATGCTGTGTGTTTCGTTGTGAAAGCAAACTACTTTGTTTGGCCTTCCAAAAGAGGACACAAGTAGAAATCAGTGGTTAAGTTGTATTTACAACGCTGTTCCAGAACAGTACAACCCAACTATTCAGATGTGAGCAACGCATTTTACGGAGGACAAGGACTGTTTCCTGGGAGAGTAGCCTACAATGCCTTGACAAATAATGCTGACTCACAGCCTGTAAGTACGCTTTCAAATTTAAAGGATTTGCCACTTATGATTCAAACACGAGTTTTGGGCAGTGTAGAGTAGCGCTTGTTGTTTGTCGTTTGTCCGATCACAAATGCAGAACAGGTTTTATGTTTACGCGGCGCGATGCAACGCAATGCGTAAAAAGACAGTATAAGTCATTATAATCAGTAATTACGTCCCCACTGGATGCAACAAATGCCTCGTTTATAATGGGTTTTATTGTATTGGTTTTGTCTCGTTGCACCGGGACACGCCATCATATGGAAAGGGACGTAACATTTCCGTCACACACTTGAGGTATTCGGCCAATCACAACGCACTAGATAGGTGGCCAATCAGAGCACACCTCGCTTTCAGACCGATGAGCTTTGTAAAAATCGACGCGTTTCAGAAAGGCGGGGCATAGAGGAGAAACAATAATGTACAGTATTTGGAAAATAATGTGTTTTTTTAACCTTAAATCGCATAAACACATTTTACAGCAACGTCATATGACCCCTTTAATGCTGGATTCCAATTCAGACAGATTTTAAAGGTTCCATAAAAATTGTTCAAATGTTTGTTTTTATTTTCTTTGCCCATTGTAGAACTACGGAGGTATGAGGCCTCCTCCAAACTCTCTAGGTGGTCCAGGCATGCCCGGAATGAACATGTGAGTTCTTTAACATGAGAACACTCCCTTTTGCCATTTATTTAATCCTATTAAATCATGTTTGTTAACCTCCTTCTGTCTCTGTTCTGTATTTTTTGCTCTCCACCGACCCACCTTACAGGGGTCCTGGAGGACGTGGCCCCTGGCCAAACCCGAGTGCTAACTCGGTACGTTCACATACATTGCTATCTTTGTGGCTGCAGACAAAAACATGACATGCATTATTGCTACACTGACTTTACTGCTGAAAACGTACTGTGGTTGCACCATGATACAGCGATGGTATCAGATACCATTGTACTTCATTATATACCAAAGATTATTATATTCATATATCATAGTATTATAGTATTCTAATTATTAAGTGTTGTAGTTTAATTGTCATCAAAATATAATGTATTCATTTTTATTTTTGTTGTTGGGTTGACAGATAGCATACTCCTCCTCATCTCCAGGCAACTACGTGGTGAGTACCTAACTTTAGTCAACGTTTTTGTAGTATATATTAATTGTCTTACAGCATAAAAAAGAAACGACTTCCAAGCTGTCTTTGTAATATTTCCTCAAAAATTTAATAACTTGCCCTGCAACTACTTTCATTTTTAGATGATGTGACAGCAATGTTTCAGGAGGAAAACAGTCTTATGGAAATGAAATAAAATTGTTTGCAAATGCACTTTCAAATGGACCATTCAAAGAACATGTTGCAGAGATTTTTCATTTTTTTTGCCTCTGCCGTTAGCTCAAAGAAAAAGTGCGAAATTGAGTCATTCCTTTTGGAAACTAAAAGCATAACTAAGCAGATATTTAAGTTTCTGAATGTATTGATTTTGCTTTAGCAATTGCTATCCTGCTTCATTTTGCCCCTAGCATTGCCTCTCTTAAAAGTCAAATATCTGCACATTAGTCAAAGCAGCTTAATAGCTCCCCTGTGCCTAGTGTGTCTTTGTTTAAAAACTGCTCCTCTGGTAGATCGCTGATAGTACGGCAGGTACTATTACATACTGAAAAGCTAAGCATGTGTTTGTGTGTGTGTGTTTCCTCTCTCAGGGTCCTCCAGGAGGAGGTGGTCCACCAGGAACTCCCATAATGCCAAGCCCAGGAGGTACAGTAGATCTGTTCTGTCGCTCTCCCTTTTGCATATAATTCACACACTCGCTCTCACCTTGCCTCTATAATCAGCACAGCCGGAAACAGTTTGTGTCTCTCCAGGAAAGAAAGATGCTCAGCATTTCACAAACACTCTATTTAACACCCTCTCCCTCCCTCCCTACCCAGCAGCCAATATCACTGCAAGGTTACCTGCACTTCATCTGGCAGGAAAACAAAACATGAGATCAGTGCCACCCCTCCCACTTTGTTAATGTAATTCCACTCCGAATGCTTGTGTTTGTGATGTTGAAGCAGAGATTATAGGTGTGAGCGGGGTCTCCCTTTCCCTTGCTCTCGCACTCTTACTCGCACACAGGCCTTAAATCATTAAAGAAACACATTTATTATGGTGATTAATCCTGTCCAACCATGTTCTGTATTGATCTAGTGTGCTGTTAAAGCATTGGTCATCCATATATGCTTGGAAGTGATTCTGGTCTCTTATTTTGGTGAAGTTGTGCTGGTCTTTGAAACAAATTTAAAAAGCTTTCTGCACTTTTCTCTTCTAGACTCCACAAACTCCAGTGAAAATATCTACACAATGATGAACCCTATTGGACCAGGAGGAAACAGACCCAGTGTATGCATTACTCCTGTCTAGATATGTATTTTCCAGAGTAGTTACACTGCCGTTCAAAAGTTTGTGGTCATTAAGAATTTTTAAGATGTTTTTGAAAAAAGTCTCTGTTGATTTGGTGCTCAAGAAACATTTCATGTTTCTGTCCATTTTTTGGTTGATGGTTGTTTCTTAATGTATTTCTGTCGAAACCACAGTACTTTTTTGTTCGAATTCTTTGATTAATTCAAAAGAACAGCATTTTATTTAAAATGTAATTATTTTGAAACATTACAGGTGTCTTTGCCTTTTGCCTTTTTATCAGTTTAATGCATCCTTGGTAAATAAAAGCATTCATTTCTTTCCAAAAATAAGTCTTACTCACCCCAAACTTTTGAACAGCAGTGTAAATATTTCTCCACGTAATGATTATTTTGACATTTCTAATGTATTTCCAAAGCCACAGCTACACATTTTGATTCCCAAATGTATTACGTTTAAATGTTTTACAGCTCTTTGGAATATTTGATTCTGATTGGTCGGTTGTGGCATTCAGCAGCCAAATATTTGTATATCATGATTGCTAAACTGTAGAATTGATTGTCGTTTGATTGCCTTTGTACTGTAGCTGTGCTCGTTTCTCTAGAGCTAGAGTGTGCTAGTGCTCGTTCTTCTTACATAATGCTACAATTTGAACTCAAATCAATATTTGATGTCCAATTATTTATTTAGTTGCTTAAGTAGTCATGTAATAAGCTTGATAATGTACAGTCATTCAGTCATTATCACAAAATAAACCCCTTCAGTGTGATTTAAGACCTGTCTGGATTGACTTGTAATAATACGTGCCTGACTGTACATTATGCTTTATTTATATTAATCCTAATTGTCACATTATGAACATTGTTTTCATAAAAATGCAGGCATGCTCTTAGTGAAATCAAAGGGGACATGCTTTTCAAATTAATGTTTGTATCTCACACAGTGACGCAGGTTTATTTTTCTCAGGGCACTGGATGTGGGATGATTGGTTAAATATGATTATTTCTCTGTGTTTCTCAGTTCCCCATGGGTCCTGGTCCAGATGGCCCAATGGGCGGCATGGGTGGCATGGAACCTCATCATATCAACGGATCATTAGGTAAGCATTAAGATCGCAATGTTAATCAAAATAATATTTATATCTGACTTTTATAAACCACAAAAGGCATTATTTAATTATATAATGTATACTATTTTTATTTCAGGCTCTGGTGACATGGATGGGTTGCCAAAGGTAAAGAAGGTTTTAGTGTGCGAATCTGTTTTTTTTTTCTTTTCTGTTTTCACATCTCATCCTGAACTGTTTTTGTCAAACGTCTCTTTCGCTTCAGAACTCCCCCAACAACATGGCAGGGATGAACAACCCACCAGGCACACCACGGGATGATGGAGAAATGGGAGGAAACTTCCTCAACCCATTCCAAAGTGAAAGTGTGAGTAGATTCTGACCCAAACCCAGAGACCTGTCACTCCCCTCACCTGCCAGTCATAAGCACTACCGTCCAAAAGTTTGCGGTCAGTCATGATTACATTTTTTTTTTTTTAAAGAAAGATATTAGTATTTGTATTCAGCAAATATAACTTCATCAAAAGTGACAGTAAAGACATTGTTACAAAAGATTTCTACTTCAAGTTCTTTTCTATTCATCAAAGAATCCTGAAAAAAATGTTTCCACAAAACTATTTATATATTTATAATAAGAAATGTTTTTTGACCACCAAATCAGCATACTAGAATGATTTCTAAAGGATCATGTGACACTGATCATGAAGACTGGAGAAATGGCTGCTGGAAATTCAGCTTTGCCATCACAGGAATAAATTACATTTTAAAACGTATATTAAAATAAAAAAGCGTTTGTAATAATATTTCACAATATTACTGTTTTTACTGTATATTTCATCAAATAAATGCAGCCTTGGTGAGCATATGCTTCTATGATTTAAAAATCTCTCTGACCCCAAACTTTTGAACAGTAGTGTAGCTCCTCCCAGCAGGCACTCGGAAGGCCCCATGTTACTTATAATAGACCAGAATATCAAATCAACAAAAAAAATATTTAAGTGATTTGTAAGTGTTATTGATTCAGTCCAAGACTGAGTGCTGGAAATGACCAGCAGTTTCCTGGACCGACGCTTTAGGGTTTTTATTTCCAAGTTTTCTGCCCTTTGCTTACTGCTTTGTCAACAAAATCATGCATATTCTTGCTGTTTGTTTGGGACGGTAATGACATAACCATCCTGTATTTGCTCTTGTGTGGAGTTCTCATGATCTATCCCCCCCTCTCCCCTTTGTCTCTTTCCAGTATTCACCCAACATGACGATGAGTGTGTGATTTCTTCTTATTTTATTGTTTTATTTGGGGTTTTCTTTTTTGCTTTGTTCAAACTCCCTCTGACCGCCCCGCTCCTTTTTTAACCCCGTCCCCTCTTCACGTCGATCAACCCCCCGCACCCTCTACCCACGGAACTCTGGCTTTTTCTGCACAGCCTTCTGGGATGCCCCACGAGCAGATGACTCACATGAAAGTGGCCCATCCCAGCTTGTGCAAAATGGCCACCGGCAACAGGAAACAGTCCCAGAGCCACAGGAAGAGCTTGTTGACTGAATCTCCCTGCCTCCCGGACTTCCTCTCTGGTTCAGGACACTAACGGGGCTGAACACACACAGGAAGGCAGGTGTGTGTATGTGTTTGAGCAGACACACGCATCCCCGGGCTGCTCACTTTTTGATCTTTATGAACTCACTCCACTTTTTTGATTCATTTTTTAAATCTTGAATGGATGCAGTCGTTTTTACAGTGGAAAATATCTGCACCTTTTTCCTCCATTAAATTGTGTAAATGCAAGAGGAAGCTCATTATGATGGGTTCGGCAATGAACGTTTTCATTATTCTGTGTATGTATTGTATTATTATCAATTGTTGATTTTATTTTTATTAATATTGTATTGATGGTTATTGATTAGGTTTGAATCTTTTTTTGAAAGGGGCACATTATATGTAAACCACGAATTCGACAGGAAAAAGCACACATCCATAATGCACAATAACAGTGTCGTGACTTTTGCAAGAAGTCTACACTACGTTTTGTGTTTGCTGTGAAATCTTACCTCCCGCAGATTAAAAAGGTAGCCGTACCTTTTCTTCTACGTCTCTAATATATACAGGAAATGTAGTTTCATTGTCCCTGTCAAGTGAACGTCTGAGGCCAAGAAGCGCAAGGCCCAAACCAGCAGCGACTTTAACCTCTCAGACCAGCCTGTGTGTCCGACAACGCGTTTTGGAGTCTTATCTGTAGAGAGGAAGTGAAGTCATAACAGAGCTGAAAACATGCGGTCAAACAACTAACTAGCGCTGAACTTGACTCCAACACACATGACAGATATCTGCTCACCGTGATTCACAACTTATTTATTTGTTGTTTTTGTTCAAGAATTGATTTATCGCGCACACGTCTCGCATGCGACCCGTCAGGACATATTGTACACATGTAAATATGCCAGTCTAAGATACCTCCTGAAGATTTGTATCATTCTGTCCCTAGCCAGAGACCCACATGCTTTCCTTCTGCATGAATCTGAACAGGGTGTCTCTAGTCACATGACATTTCAGTACAAATTAGGTTCCTGTTGACTTGGTGCTCATCATACTGGATATTTTTCAGGCGCGGGAATAGAGCCTTCCTCCTCAAACACATTTTGTGTTAAGTATGTGTTCCATATTATGTCTAATCATCTTCAAAAACATGAGATGTCAGTCACATCCTGAGCTTATGAGATGAGGGGATAATAATAGGACGTCCAGGGACTACTGAATGAGGGATATATGAACTAAATGTGCTCACAGACTGTGTTTCATAATATTGGCATGCATTTTTTTTTCGTTTTGTCTTTTGCATTTGGTGTATATTCTGTCTGTCTTTTAAAGGGATAGTCCACCCCAAAATGAAAATTCTGTCATTATTTACTTATGTTCTTTTTTCTAACTAAAGACTTTCGATTGCCATTGACTTCCATTGTAATTTTTGTCTATACAATGAAAGTCGAAGGAAAGTGAAACTTTTTGGTTATTCTTCAGAATTTCTGTATTGTTATTCTGTATCTTCAGTCTATTTTGTTAAAGAAGATATTTTGAAGAATGTTAGTAACTAAACTGTTTGGGTTCCCATTGACTTCCATTGTAATTCTTGGCCGTAGAGTGCAAGTCAATGGGAACCGAAACTGTTTGATTACCAACATTTTTTAAAATATCTTTTTATTTTCCGCTGAAAGGCACACAGGTTTGGAATGACGTGAGGGTGAGTGATTTTTGGGTGGTCTTATCCCTTCAAACGAAATGTGTTTTTGGAAGTAGGGGTCTCAGTGAAATGGTTATTAGGGGTCAGAAGGAACCGGGAAATATCAGAGCTAAATGCTCAAATCCTCCTGCTGATTACATAAACACACATTAATCACACAGCACCTGCTTTTAAGTTCTCCACAGCTGGATGACACGATGTACACAGAGAAACACACAATTATACAGCATCTCTCTTATTTTATTACTTAGTTTGTTTGTAAATACTGTAAAATGCATTTTGATATCATTGACATGTTTTGATATTTTAGTCACTACCAATGAACTACTACGAGATCTTGGGGGTAAAAAAAAATGTAAAGGAAGAACCCATGTTTGTAGTCACCATTCTCTGTCATTGACTCTGTACAGATGTACCAAATCATGCAAATGTAAAGTTTTGTCAGCCTCTACTTAGTAAACGGCGTCTTGAGCGTTCATGTTTTGAGAGAATAGGAAAGTAAGGGGTGTTTGAAGCGGTACCGTTCACTCCTCGTAGACTAGACACTCACAGGAGGACGTATGCGGAGGGCGAAAGCCTCACGATGCATCCGTTCTCTCTTGGACGTGTCCTCACTTTGCACTTTCCAGACAGCAGCCCACCTTTTAACACATTGTCTATGTGGACATACATGAACACAGGATTTGTCTCTTTATGTGCAAAAGGGACCACCCATTGCAAACTTTACTATGAAGGATTTTTATCTATTTAAATTAAAAAACAAACAAAAAAAGGTTTAAAAACTCTTTCAGAGTAGGGATTTAAAAGAAAAAAAAGGTTATAAAAAGGAGGGAAGTGTCCTTCCCGTTCTCTTGAGATAGTGTTTTATAGGTTGCGGTTTCTTCTCGGCCAGTACTCTGTATGTAAACCACTCACGTCGTTGGCCATCTCTGTAATTCTATTGTGACGCTGTACGATACTGTAACATTAGCGAGGAGACGAGGTGCGGAGGGGCTTCAGATGCAGGAAAGAAAATAAATCCTCCTCCACTGTTGTTCTTTCTGACAAACGAAAAGCAGTATTGAGTATAAAGCAGTCCGTCTCCTAGGTTTGCTTTGTATTTCATGTTTAGGGTAGTTTGGATCCTTGTCTTAGGGACTCTTTCTGTCTTGTGTAGTAAATTAAGATGTTCTTTGTATGTTTCTTTATATTGTAAAGTTTCTTTTAGATTTAAAGGTTGCTTATTAAAAAAAAAAAGGATGGAAAAAGTGCTTCAATAATGTATTTTTTTCTCTCTTTGGTTTTGTTTTTTCATGGAGTTGTCGCTTATTTTTTTTGCTTGTCCCTTGTTGTAGATACAAATTTAAGACTAATAAAATAACATAACCCCTTTTACCAAGACTTTCTGCTCTCTCCGCTTTTAATTTATTATTAAAACTATTGACTTTGAAATGTGTGGGTTCTTTTTATGCATCCTGTTCACTTCACCTGCTTTAGTAAAGTACCATTTTAAAGATTTTTACGTTTATTAGTCTCTTATGCTCACATTTCAATTGCAATTAGTTTTAGCAATTAAAAACATTAATATTGTGAAATGTTATTAAAATAACTAATAACTTTATATTCTAATATATATATTACTGTGATGGCAAAACTGAGTTTGCAGCATCATTACTGCAGTATTCAGTGTCACATGATTATCAGAAATCATTTTAATATGCTGATTTTTTTTTATATCAATGTTGAAAACAGTTGTGCTGCTCAATATTTTATTTAAAATATATAGGTTTTTTTCATGATTATTTGATGAATAGATAGTTCAAAATAACATTTTTTTGGTAAAGAAATATTTTGTAATAATATGAATGCATGTCTTTGCTGTCAGTTTTGTTCAATTTAATGCATCCTTGCTGAATAAAAGTATTAATGTAATTAAAAAACAAACAAATAAAAATGACCCCAAACATTTGAACAGTTGTGTACATCTGTAGTTAATGGGACTTTTTTTTTTTTTTTGCATTCAATTTTTTATGATGAGCATTTACATGCACATCTCACACTGATTATGCAAATTAACCTGATAATATATGAGGTCATAAATGCCTTGGCTTAAACAATGTTCTTTTCTCAGGAAAAGGTCATAAATCATTTTTAAATTCTGTATTCAGATTCCAATTTGCATTTCATAGCATTTTATTATTGAAAAGGTCAGTAAATTAATTTACTTCAAAAGTGTAAGGAAAGACTTTAACATTGTTACAAATGTAAAAATGATTACAAATGTAATTCAAATAAATGCTCTTGCTCATGTTTCCACAAAAGTATTCATGTTTTCCACAAAAATATTACACAGCAAAGCCGTTTTCGACATAATAAAATAGTCAAAGTCTGCTTTATTGTCAATTCTGCCACATGTACAGCACATACAGAGAATTGAAATTGCGTTACTCTCAGACCCTTGGTGCATACAGTTAACACTTAACACTAACAGTAGACATAATACAGATAAATACAGTTTAAATATATATAAAATACAACCTATACAATATACAAATAAGGACATAAGGCATAAGGCACATGGCAGTTATAGTGCAAACCAGTGATATAAACAACTGTGAAGATATAACGAGTGTAGTGCAAAAGAGCTTATCAGTCTGTTAAAGTGATGAAGAGCTCTGAGAACAGTCTTTAATTAAACTGTCAGAGAGGTATGCAAATAAATGTTTCTTTAGCAGCAAATCAGCTACGCATCACATGAATACATTTTCAAAATAATAAAAAAAACTGTTCTTTTAAATTGTACAAATATTTCACAATATCACATTTTTTATCAAATAAATGCAGCCTTTGCTAGTAAAAGAAACTTTTTTAAAAAACAATTTTAACATATTCTAGAATATATCTGTCAGGATCTCTAGCTGGAGTGCCTGTGAGCTTCGCTAGAGGGCACTCCATCCCGGACTTCTACCACTCCATCAAAAACTTAATTTCCCATAATCCTTTGCCCGGACTCATCAACACTCACTGTTTGCACCTGTGTCTCATTTACCCTGTCTGCTCACCCTATACAAGTCTGGTTTAGGTTGTGATTCTTTGCGAAGTCTTGTAAGTGTTACACTGCATCTCTGAGCGTGTCTCCTGTTTATATGTATCTTGGTTTTTGGACTCTTTGCCTGTGTTCTCTGCCTTGTTGTTTAGTCGGACTGATTGTCTGTGTGTTGACCCTTGCCTGCTGTCTGGTTTCGATTCTGGGCTTTCCTAATAAACACTGCATTTGGATCCTCACGCAGTCTCGGAGCAGTTCCGTAACAATAATATATTAATAATATCAATAATATATAATATAAAATGTTTGACTGTTATATTTCAGATTCTTGCGTTTCTATGGCAGACATTGTGAAGGTGTGTGTTCTGTGGACATTTAACCGGCTGTGCTGGTGAGGTTTCTGGTTTCATCCTCTCTCTCGTCCCCTGAGAACTGTGTACAGCTCCAACATCAATCTCTCTGGCAGGAAGTACCCCTCTCTCGTGTGGCTGAAGAGGAGGGCACAGCCGTTATAAATCACCACTGCTTTTCTCCTAGGGAAGAGTGTGAATATTAATTAATGTGGTGAAACAGTGACCCTTGGGCCACAATTAATTTCAATTGAGTGGTGCCAGCGAGAACTCGTACAAACAGCACTCCAAGGTTATGATGTCCTTGACGTATAGAAATATTCCAACTTCCAGATTATACACGATTCTCGCGATGAAAAAGAAAGTGCTGATTGAAATGTCGCCTCCTTACAGATTTAGCAGTGTCAGGCGCATGGGAACCACACTGCAATTGCTTACAAATTAATTATTAAAACGCGCATTGAATTCATTCCCCAGATGTCCATGAGCTCTGAATCATGGATAAAGTGGGCTACACAAGGGCACAATATTTGTTTGCAACAATTTTGCAGGAAAGATCGTTATCTCCTAAATGACCTTTTGTAATAGGGGAGAAAAAAAGCTTGAGCCTTCAGGAAGCAGACTGTTTGCAAGAGGCCGTGACACTTTGCACTGTTAACTAAAAATAACTATTTCAAACAGTATAGAGTATCAGCGTGTTTGATTAGTTTTTTCGTAGTTATAAGCTTGTCGTTGCTCGCATATATTAATTAAATACATGTAGCATTGATATTATGGACCATGTTTTTGATCTTTTATTGCATATCTTTGGTGGCATTGACTCATTCACAGGAAATTGTGCTATGGGTGGTTGAAAGTTTCTAAAAAAAAACATTTTCAACTGTAAATAGGCTACATCTGGTTAACGCTGAGGTCTCAATTCATTTTTTACCAGGGCTGTTATCACTTTTAGGACCACATAAAAGAAATATCCCCTCTGATATTCAGATTAGTGGCAGGCTTCAATGGTCAATTAACTACTACATGCAATCTTAAACTGCACTGCAATGTTTTACTGTCACAGAAAGTTAGAATTTTCTATATAGTTATAATAGTAACTATAAATGAGTGGATTTGGGAAGCATCACTGTTGCAGAGTAAATCACACATTACAAACAAATACATACATTTAAGACATTATGCATTTCATAAAAAAATACATAGACGGTGAAAACATATTATTGTAATTTTAAATGAAAGTACAAATTAGATCAGTTTCGTGTGGTTTATTCTAAATTATCTTTCTGAGATGCCCTGATATTACCATTTTTACTGAAACCGAAAACCACCTAATGTTACAGCCAGTGTTGGGGGTAACGCATTACAAGTAACGCGAGTTACGTAATCAGATTACTTTTTTCAAGTAACTAGTAAAGTAACGCATTACTTTTTAATTTACAAGAGAATATCTGAGTTACTTTTTCAAATAAGCAACGCAAGTTAATTTTTGTTTCCAATTTATTGACTGA